ACTCTCGGCTTTGTTTGGACCTGTCGTTTCATTTAAATCGCTGTACAAACCCATGGCCCGTGACACTTAATGTGATTTCTTCCACTGCTCTAAGCACTCGACATGAGTAGGGGGCGGGGGCCGGGGTTCAGATGAGCGTAGGGACTGGTTAGATTACCGAGATACACTGTTTTTATTCTGGTTCTGTAATATGACCTCAGACCACAGGATTAATATCCACTTACATAGAATCAGCATGCATTGAACGATGCCTGCTGCCGCGGGCGTGATGCTGCGCTGAGACTGAAGGGCATGTCTTGGCCTCTGTAGGTGTGGAGTCAATTCACAGTGAAAAATGCTAAGTGGTAAGGAAGGAGTAAGGTGAAAGCCATTGACAGTATTAGAACAGCCATCCTCAAAGCATTTAGGATTCAGTCGATATTAGTGTTACTGCAGGAATTCTGAAGAATTTGACATCTTGATAAAGAAGTTGGAGTTTGGGCCAGGCCCTGAAGGATCAGTAAGATTTAAGAGAGCAGTGGGGATTGGCTGTCAGATTTAGCAAATAAAAATACATGACCTGGCCAGGCGCAGTGGCACACGCCTGTAATCCTAGCACTTTGGGAGGCTGAGGCAGGCGGACCATGAGGTCAGGAGATCGAGACCATCCTGGCTAACATGGTGAAACCCCTTCTCTACTGAAAACACAAAAATTAGCTAGGCGTGGTGGCACGCGCCTGTAATCATAGCTACTTAGAAGGCTGAGGCAGGAGAATGGCATGAACCTGGGAGGCAGAGCTTGCGGTGAGCCGAGATCGCGCCACTGCACTCCAGCCTGGGTGACAGAGGGAGACTCCGTCTCAAAATAAAAAGAAAAAAGAAAAAAAATACATGACCTGGCCAGGCGCAGTGGCTCATGCCGGTAATCCCAGCAACTTGGGAGCCTGAGATGGGTAGATCACGTGAGGTCAGGAGTTCAAGACCAGCCTGGCCAACATGATGAAACTCTGTCTTACTAAAAATACAAAAATTAGCCAGGCATGGTGGCATGCACCTGTAGTCCCAGCTACTGGGGAGGCTGAGGGAAGAAGATCGCTTGAACCCGGGAAGCGGAGGTTGTAGTGAGCCGAGATCACACCACTGCACTGCAGCCTGGGTGACAGAGCTGGACTTCATCTCATTGAGAAAAAAAAACACACATGACCCATGTAACCTTTAGGAAGTATTCATACTAAAATGTTATTCATTGTGTATCTAAAATTCAGATTGAACTAGCCTTTCTCTATTTTACCCAGCAGCCCTCAATGGGGAAGATGTTTAAGTGGAGGAATGCACATGCATGTTCAGGGAGTGGTGAATGGGACTGTGTGGTTGTTTGAGGATGTTAGGGCAGAGGCAGAGAGACGGCGTGGGTATGAGATGGATCAGTGGTGGTGCCAGGTCATGACTCATGCACCTTTGGGTGGCTGCTGTGGTCCAAGTCTGTGGGCACACCATGCATTATTCCACACTTCTCATTTCCCATGACAACAAAAATGTTACTATTCCAGAGCAGATTGTCTTTCATCAAAAGAAACAGGGCTGATGGAAATATGGCCAAAACTATGGCCCAACTTGTGAGTTGTTCCAAAAGGCAAAAACGGTGCTTGCTTGGGTGAAGTCAGTTGACCATATCAAGTCCCAGGTGCTTTTCACTGTAGGACAAGCAGTGCCAGTGTTTTAGTTCCAGTTTAAATATATGTTTTTCTGGGGCTGGTTAGTACCTGGCATACTGGCTTTCAGAAGTCCTGTCACAGATCTTCAAGGGTGGTCTGTCTCCGTGCAGCTCATCTACTGTGTTTGACAAATGAACCATCTTGGTCGTTGCCTAAGGTTCTGTGGCCAGCTCACAGCAGAGCAGAGGCTAGAACCCAGGTCTCTTAGTTCTCACTCTTTTCACCATTGCTGTGGCTCCTTGAGGTCACATGTTAATAAAAATGCCAGGGCTTTCATGACAGCTCTGGTTTTCTTTGTTCAGTGCTTTCCTACCACACCATGGTTCGTATCTGAGAGTGCTGGGTTGGAACCACACGTGAAGCTTGTCATCAGCATCCATTCAAATTTAGTTCTGGACAAGTGCTTTTGCTAAAGATTCCTATTACCTGCCAATTTATTAATTTAAAAATAAAGTTGATTGGAGTTTGGAAGGCTCCATGTTGTAAAACTCCTTCTTTCCTCCCTCCTTTCTTTCCTTCCTCCCAAATATATTAAGCATTTACTGTGTGTCAGGCACAGCTATAGGCACTGAGAATCCCGCAGTGAATAAGTTTGAGTCCTTGCCCCAGTAAAACTTACATTCTAGTGAGGGATACAGACAACTGATCAATGAAAAAATATTCCACCTGGTGTTAAGTGCTAGGAAGAAATTACTCAGATGCTTTTGATTCATAGATGAATCTCTTGGATAGGAGTAGAGTCAAGCCTCTTTTATACCAAACCCCATTTTCTTGTGAGCTTTCCTATGTTGCAGCGACTTGGCTGCAAGCAGTGTTTCTGGCGGGAGAAGGGAAGCAGCTGGCTGCAGGCGGAACTGGGGTGAAGCACCGGATCCTCACAAGTACGTGTGTACCCCGTGCCTGAAGCAGCACAGTGAATTCAGGTGTGATCCAGGCTAGTGTTGCTATCTGAGAGTAACAGGTGACAGATGATGCTGTCTAAAGGAAGGGAGAGGAGTATGTCAGTCTGAATATGGCAGAGACTGAATATGTCAGTCAGTAACATACGTGCATTTCCCTGTGCCAGCTCTGCCCTGAACACTGAATGCATTATCTCATGTGACTCCTCAAAATCACATGGGGATGGGCACCCAGATGGGTTGGTTTTGTTATCTCCATTTTATAAGTATGGAAACCAAGTCTTAGTAGAGAAGTAAAATGACTTACCCAGGCCATAAAGCTACTTGTACGCAGTGGAGTCAGAAAGTCTAACTTCAGACCCTATTTGCTCAGTCTCTACTGTAATTGAGGAAAAATTGGGCTGATGGTGTCAGGACTCCAACCAGAGAGAATGGGTTCCAGGCAAAAGTTGAGGCCCAACAGATAAGCCAAGGCAACAGCCCTGTATTATAAATGGAGGAGATTAGGGACAGGAGTGATGCATTAGGCAAGGTGGCTTCACTGGCTGTGGCAGCACAGCAGGGCCCCTTCCAGGTCCCAGATGGCCTTGGGTGGAAGCTGTTAGACCTTCCTTCCTCAGCCAGGACTTCTTTCCAGGTGAAGGGCTCTGTGGCCACAGCTGAGCAGGACTGGGGCTAGGAGAGGGCGCTTTGCCACCATAGGGTGCCTTTGGCATGCACTGTCCTTCCCGTTAGCTGGACAGTAAACCAAAGTTAGAAGGGGAGGAGTAGGGAGTTTGGACTCATCTGGCCCTGGTTTTGTTTTCTGTGTTCACTGCTTGCTTCTTGTGTGGCCCTTGGGTAACTTAATGACTCCGGGCCTCAACTCTAATCTGTAAAATGGGGCTTTGCATAGCCACTTTGCAGAATGCATGTGAGCTTTCAAGTCAACAATATGCTCTCTATAAAGGGCCTACCATAGTACGTGGTGCATGACAGGCACATGGAAATGGTAAGGGGCCTGATATTATCACCAAAACCAACTTTGAAAGTAACCCCCAATTTTATTATGTTTGTTTGGAAAGGGCAGATACACATGGAGAGAATTCTGAAAACAAGCACAGGTACAGGCCAGGCCTGGGGGCTCACACCTTTAAGCCCAGCACATTGTACACAGGGGTTGGTGGTGTATGTCTGTCTCTTTGGGTGCTGTCCCCTGTACAAGAAACAGATAATCTCACCAAGGCCACAATTTCTGTGAGTCACGAGGCAGGTTTACAGTCCTTTAGTTGTGCTGGACATTGCTTTCCAAGCTGAGTTCTAAGGCACCCTGGAGGGGCAGCGGAGGAGCCCATGGAGGCTGGGTGGTCCCTGTGGTGGTGGGACTCCCTGTCCCTGCCTGTCTCTTGGATGGTGGCAAGGGTCTTCTGGAAGAACACAGGAACCACTGTCACTGTCATCCCATCTGCTGAGCTGCTCTGCTGCTGTCTTTGCCGTACAATTTAACTTTTCCATTGGGAAGGGTTATTGGTGCAGTTGGCAGGCACTTTCCTGGTAAATGATACGGTGGGGCCCCCATAAACCCAGGCCCATGAAACAGATAAGTCAGCACATTGAAAATATAGCATGGAAGTGACTCAAGCCTGAAGGAATCCATTTCTGAAAGTGCTGCCATCCCTGTCTGGGAGATTTTGGTAGAAATTGATGTTTGAGTTGGGAGGAGGAGGCCAGTGGCCTGGTTACTTGCAGAGCCTTGTGTCAGAGTCGCAGCATTGGCCCAGAGTCTGAGTCCTGCCAGCCCCCAACCACAGGGTCATCCTTCTTGGTGAGGCAGCCCCCTGGCCGGCCAGCCGGGGTTGAGCCCACTGGGGCTCCGTGCTGTGGGAGCCGGGGTGAAGCTGTCTTTGCAGCAGATAGAGTTGACTCTACAAGCCAACTGGTAACACTTGGCTAGGGGCCTGGAAAGTATTGGAGACTCCACCCAGCATGGGAGCCTGTGGGAGTTCCCCGGCACGGACGAGTTATTCTACTCCGAGTTCTTTAGATTCCTGTGTATTTGAAATGTTGACCCTCTTCTCGGGACTTGAGCTTGTACTTTGCCCACCAGAGACCAATACCAAGCACATACACACTGAAATTTACTAGGCCACCCTGGTGACCAGGTCGTTAAAGCTGCACACAGTTTTTGGAAGGAAGACCGTATTGGAAATCACGCTCCGCTGTAATTCAAGAACGGGTTTCTTAATAGAGGGACACAGTTGGTGTCAGACACATGTGGAAAAGAAAAGAACAGGCCCATAATTTTGGCTCAGTACCCAGGGCCAGATGTTAAAGGTACTGACCATGATATAGCTGCAGTATTGTTAGCCACCTGAGTTTGGTGTGCTATTTTAACCTCTGTTTCGACCTTGTCCTTTCTCTCTGCCAGGTCCCCAGTCTATGTGAGGATCTCCTGTCTTCTGTTGACCAGCCACTGAAAATTGCCAGAGACAAGGTGGTGGGAAAGGATTACCTTTTGTGTGACTACAACAGAGATGGGGACTCCTATAGGTGAGCTCATGCCCCGGGTATGCAGCAGGCACACCAACCACATGCGGGCTGCCGTAGGTGCCTGCTGCAGAGCACGTGGACCTTGGACTTGGGCAGCTGGCAGCCCGTTGGCTGCCCTCCTCTCCTTTCTTCTCTTGTCCTCCCCATTCTTCTCCTCCTTCCATCTGTTATTCCAGTCAGGCAGCGGATGTGTGAGGAGTGCCACCCACAAGCATGGGAGATAGAGCAGTGGACAAAAGGCCCCCTGCCTTTATGGATCTTCCAATCTAATAGGAGAGGGATGTTGTTCCCGAAAACAGCTGTTCTGTTATAATTGCGTTCAGGCCTGCAAAGGGCAGCGTACAGAGTGTGCCTATGATGGGGATCCTGAGGGCAGGGAGGGTCTCTGTGGTTAAGGGATCTACGAACGCAGCTCTGTCAGATACGCAGCTCTCTTCTCTCTTTCCGTCACCTCGCCCAAGGCTGTAAATAACTAAGTTGACATTAGTCCCTGCCCTGGGTGTCTGATCACCAGGTCTAGCATAGGAGACACATTGGGTAACTGATAACTGTACGATGTGATTCATACAGCCAGTGCAAAGTCTGTTCAGTGTGGGAGAGTAGCACAGAAGAGGCCATAGTCAACTCCAGGAGGACTTCCTGAAGGAGGTGATGTCTGAGCTGGGTTTTAAGAGCATGTAGGAGTTATACCTCTATTTTTCAAGAGTGAGAATTCTTAAACTAGCCCAGTGTTTCCATGATGAATGCAGTAGTCACTGCCTTGGAGAACAGTAGAGGAACACAGCCTGCTTTAGGTTTATTTGGTGGCCACAGAACCAGGGCTGTCTTGAAGCTTCACCCTAATGCTCTCTTTGGAGACGGGGCAATGCTTCTGGGAAGTCAAAGCAGAAAAAATGATCAGGAGTCAGCCAGTGTGGGCTTCAAACCAGCACAGCTCCCTGTGTCAGTGGGACTTTGACAAATCACTTCTTGTTGCTGATCTTTTAGTTTTGTCATCTGTAAAATGGAAATGATAGTATTTGTTTACTCAACAGAAGGCTTCCTAAAGAAAATAAAGAGGACAGTGGGAGAGAGGGAGAGGACAGGCAGGCAGGGAAGGCTCTCCCACAGGTTGGGAACTGGAGGATGAAAAGGTCCAGGTCTGGGGAAGAGCCTGCTGGGTGCTGAGGCCCTGGGTGATGAGCTCGCCAGGATGGAGCTGGCAGAAGGCCAGAGGTGGAGAAGGCAGTGAGGGGAGGGCAGTGGGGGCGGAGATGAGGGGGGAGGCATGGCCAGGGCAGGTCTGGCAGGGTCTTGAAGCCCAGGCTGAGGGTAATAAAAGTTAGCACAGGGTTGTTTACTGGGGGATAAAAGAAGTAACACACATGAAATGTTGAATGGCACAGACCTTGTCATATATGTAAAAAGTTTAATACTGACTTATAAGAGACTAGACAAGTTTTATAATCATGTCCCTTTCCTAGCTTCAAATGGAAATTAGGTAGAGAATATATTTTGCCCTCCTTCAGACCACAGACCAAAGTTGAAATGGTGAGAAGTGGTGAGATTTGAGGTCACTTTTAAAGGTAGAGCCAGCGGCATCTGCAGGTGGGTGGTGATGGAAGGAGAGGAGGTGGGGTGTGAAGGGTGATCACAAGGCTTCAGAACTGAGCCACTGTTGATTGAGGTGAGGAGGACTCAGGGAGGAGCTGGCATAGGGACACTTGAAGCTTGAGAGGCCCATTAGATCAACGTGGAGATACCAGGTAGGCTGTGGATGTACCACATGGAGTTCCAGGAGAGAGGTGTCGGCTGGGGATGTGGCTGCAGATGTCACAGCATATAGGTGGTGATACAGCCCTGAGGCTGGTTAAGTTCATCCTTGAAGGGCTTGTTCTGTGCCTGGAACTGCTGGTCACGGGCACGGCATCCAGGTGTTGTGCTTCTTGGGAGCATCTTGCTTTGTCACCCAGGCTGGAGTGCAGTGGTGTAAACGTGGCCCACTGCACAGAACCATAGGCATGTACCACCATGCCCAGCGAATTTTTTTTTTTTTTTTTTGAGACAGAGTCTCACTCTATTGCCCAGGTTGGAGTGCAGTGGCACGATCTCAGCTCACTGCAACCTCTGTCTCCTGGGTTCAAGCGGATTCTCCTGCCTCAGCCTCCCAAGTAGCTGGGATTACAGGTGTGCACCATCACGCCCAGCTAGTTTTTTCAGTACAGACAGGGTTTCACCATGTTGACCAGGCTGGTCTTGAACTCCTGACCTCAAGTGATCCTCCTGCCTTGGCTTCCCAAAATTTTGGGATTATAGGCATGAGCCACTGGGCCCAGCCCCAGCTAATTTTTTGACTTTTTTTCTTTCTTTCTTTCTTTCTTTTTTTTTTCTTTTGTAGAGATGGGAGCCTCACTTGTTGCCCAGGCTGGCCTCGAACTCCTAGGTTCAAGCAGTCCTCCCACTTCAGCTTCCCAAATTGCTAGGATTACAGGTGTGAGCCATATTGCCCAGCCAGGGAGCCACTGATGAGGTGGGTAGACCAGACCAGCCCTTAGAGTAGTCCAGTGAAGGTGGAGAGTGGTCTGACAGACCAGGGAGCAAGCAGGGAGGAGTATTCGCACCCGGCATGCAATTCAGGGAACACTTCCGGGAGAAGGTGGTCCTTGAACTGGTCTTACTTAATCAACATCATTATTATATTTATTATTTGCACCTAAAAACTCCAGTTTACTGTAAGGCAGCTCTTCTGTAGCAGCTGGTAGAAGGACGGGATCATGTCTAGGTCTGTGGCCAGGCCAGGCTCTGAGGGCAACTTGGTACCTGCAGCCCTTCCAGGTCACCCCTTTATCCTCCACCTGCATTCCTGAGGCCCCACCACCGGCTCTGGGGGATCTCAGGCCTTTTGAGAGGAGCCTGGGGTGTGGAGGCAGAAAGTATGTCTTTCCTTTCTCCTCTTCTCGATATGAAACTTCAAGGTCTTCTGATTCTCTCCACAGATTTCCATCCTGACTGTTTTTGATGGTTTACTTAAATAAGATCCTTATGGTGTGACCGTTGCCAGCAGCACCGTTTGAAACCTGTTAGCTGAAACAAAAAGCCTACTCGGAGGGAAATAAAAGGCCTGACTTTTGAAATCTAAGCATTCCTGTCCATCTGTCTTTTTTCAAATGGCCTCCATTTAAGCTCTTAAATGTGTTCTGAGTGCCCCTTCCACTAAGAATATTCTGGGTAATGTTATGATATTTCCCTCAGCTACAATTACCCTGGCTTCGGGACTAACAGCTTGAAATGCTATCGTCTGTGAGCCAGTAGAAATGTGAGTTACAGGCTTCTTGCAAATTGCAGGCCCCCAGTCTGCCCGAGAGATGGGCTCTTGCATCTAATCAGGGTGCCTTGAAGTGAACACCGCTTGGGTCGGGTCTTCCTGGCCTACAGGAAGGCAATGGCCATCATCGAACTGTGTGTGAGTGTGCTGCAGAGTCTCAAAGGGCCACCCGGGGAAGGAGGGAGTTCAGCTCCACACCCTCAGATTCGTATCCACTCCCCCGGCCAGCACAAGAACCAAGCCTTATTTATAGATAAATCATGGCGACAGCATCTTTTCACCTGGATCTTTGTCTCTGAGATCTGATGAGAGGCCTTTGTTGATTTGGTGTTTTTGTATTTTAGTGCTTAGGTGCCCCTCAGCATAAAAAGGCAGAAAGCTGCTCCATCTCTTGGTTTGGAGGAGCAGAACACCAGCAGATTCCCCTTTCTTCCTCTCCCGGGCTGGGAGGCTTCGGTCCACCAGCAACATCCGCTTGGCACTGACTCAGGGCCGGGTACTGGGGACAAAGGCAGGCAGCACAGGCTCTCTTCTCTCAAAGGCCTCTTGCAATCGAGGGTGAGGGAAGAAGGGCAAGAATATGACAGGCATGAGGATCAACGTCTGTGTGAGAGGGAGTGGGAGGGAGGAGGGAGTGGTGGGTTCTGTTGTGGGGTGGGTGCAAGAATTCATTCTTTTTTATTTTTATTTTTTTACAACTGTGATTGGACAAGAAGAATTCATTCATTTTTTTTTTTCTTTCCCCGAGATGGAGTCTTGCTCTGTCGCCCAGGCTGGAGTGCAGCAGTGCAATCTCGGCTCACTGCAACCTCCGCCTTCTCCTGTGATTCTCCTGCCTCAGCCTCCTGAGTAGCTGGGATTACAGGTGCACGCCACCACACCCAGCTATTATTTTGTATGTTTAGTAGAGATGGGGTTTCACCATGTTGGCCAGGCTGGTCTTGAACTCCTGACCTTGTGATCCTCCTGCCTCGGCCTCCCACGGTGCTAGGATTACAGGCATGAGCCACCGCGCCTGGCCAGATTCATTCTTAAAAACATTTTTTAAAAAATGAGCGTGTAGTTGAGTGCCAGGCACTGTTCTAGGTGCTGAGCAACCCGAAGAGGAGACGACAGAAAAGGCTCTTGCCCCTTCATAGCTGAGGTTCTAGAGTGAGCTATCTACATTCACATTGATTCCGATTAAATACAATTAAGAATTTAGTCACTTGGTCATACTGGTCACATTGTAAGTATGCAAGCAGCCCCACATGGCTCGTGACTGGTTTTGGACAGCACAGATTGAGAACATCTCCAACGTCTCAGGAAGTTCTGTTGGGCATCCCCGTTTCAGAGGGAGGAGCAGCAGGCTACAAGAACCGACACGCCAGCCTGCGCTTGGCTTCCCAGGAGAACCGAGCCATCTATTGTGGGCGGCATGCCTGTCTTCCCAGCCATCTGGGGTCCCAGCTTGTTGACGGTTTCCTTCCCATGGTGTGCACGTGGTCCAGTGTGACCATGAAAACTGGCTGCTGGTCGTGGGGCCACAAGGGGTGTCTCATCCCATTCTTGCAAAGTCTCTACCAAAACTGCAATGAGCAGCAAAAAGTGGTCGGCTTGGAAAGGATTTCCAAAGACTCCTTCTGCTTGGAGGTGATCAGGAGTGTAATGCCTGCCTGGAGACTCTTTGGGGACACCAAGCACAGCAACTCTTCCCTCACATACCTGTGAACCAACCTCCGAGAAAGCTGCCTGCAGGTGGCTGGTGGAAGAGGCTGCCCAGCTTATTCTGGTTCCATGCTCCACGATCTACTGATGGAGGTGCCTGGTGGAGCATCACTTAACCAAGAAGAAAGATGTCTGTGCACAGAATTCGTTAAAACTGGGGTTTGGAAGATGATGAGCATGCTTCTTTTTTTCCTTAACATGCATTCCACATCACAGTGATGCGAATGAAGGTCTGTGGTCAGGAGGGGATGTGGAAAAGGCAGTGTGGGTCTCTGACAGTGGAAACACCGAGGCTGGAGTGTGAAGGACTTTTTCTGAATTCCATGTTGTCTTCTCTGTCTTTTCATTCCTCTTTCACCTTTTTAATTCTGCTACTTTCTCTGAACACTCGGCCCTCTGAACCCCACCTGCAGGAATTAATGAGTAGATCTTTCCCTTATAACCCCCTTTCCAGTTCTCTGTGTGATTAAATGCTTTCCTGATGTGGCAAAATACATTTCAAGAAATACAGCAAGTCTTTTGGGCTGCAAAAAGACTGGTTCTCATTACTTAGCAGTCTTTATATGTGTGCATAGCCCTTGGATGTTGGAAAAGCTATCCTCTGTTCACATGGAGAACCTGATCGCTCAGGTCTTCTAATGTAATCAGCGTTTCCCTGTGGAGCTGTGTCTCTTGCCTGCCTCTGTAACTGACAGCTCTCTTCTTAATGCTTACTGTGTAAGAAGGTCTTAAAGTTTATCTAGAGCCTCCAGCAAGTCAGGGAGGAGAGTGGGCATCTGTTGAACTATAAGGTGGTGAACACATGGCCAGGCGCGATGGCTCACACCTATAATCCCAGCACTTTGGGAGGCTGAGGCAGGCAGATCACTTGAGGCCAGGAGTTTGAGACCAGCCTGGCCAACACGGCCAAACTCCATCTCTACTAAAAATACAAAAATTAGCCAGGCCTGGTGGCTTGCACCTACTCAGGAGGCTGAGGCACGAGACTCGCTTGAACCCGGGAGGCGGAGGTTGTGGTGAGCCAAGATTGCGGCACTGCACTCCAGCCTGGGCGACAGAGCAAGGCTCTGTCTAAAAAAAAAAAAAGAAGAATAAATAGGTGGTGAACACGAAACTGAGAAAGCGGGTAAGAAAGAACTAGCATTTGTTGAACACTGACAGTCTGGCAAGCTCTGGTCTGGGCGCTTGATCTGCTTGTCTCATTTCTCATGACAGCCCTGTGTGCAGAGCGAGTAGCAGCCGCATTTTACACAGGAGGAAAGTGAGGCTCAGGGAGTTGGGACACTTGCTGAGCGTTCACAGCCAGTGAGAGGTGGAGCACGGGCGTGTGTCCCAGTCTGCCTGCATCAGAGCCCTTGTTGTCCAAACCTCCAGAAAGCCCTGTTTGTTGCCAGGACCCAGAAAAACCTTTGTTGGAGCTAGCAGCTTTGCCTCCGAGATTTCAGATAGCCAGGGGTCAGGCTCCCTGCTCACTGGCCATGTCTTCATGGAATGATTCATGGAATGTACTTTTCCTTCCTTCCCTCCAGGTCACCATGGAGTAACAAGTATGACCCTCCCTTGGAGGATGGGGCCATGCCGTCGGCTCGGCTGAGAAAGCTGGAGGTGGAAGCCAACAATGCCTTTGACCAGTATCGAGACCTGTGAGTCACTTTCTCCTGTTGTACTTTAGCTCTTGTGATTTTTGAGAGGTAAATCCTAAGTGGCAGTGTTCTATCTTGAATCTGTTACCTGGCCAGGCATTCTCCCTTGAGTCTGTTAACTGGCTCACCTAACTAAAATTGGGAGCCCTCCATAGCAGGATGCAGGGCACTCGTTTGGTGGTTGGGTTAGTTATGAGATGACTCGGTCATAGAATGCTACCATACTTCACTATGTGTTGTTCCCCTGCATCATGATTCATTGTAACAGCAGGTACCACAGTACAGCGCCTACTGTGTGTAAGAAACAGTGCCAGGTATTTCTACATAGCATCTCAAGTCCTCACAAACATAGCTAGTTTAGTCCTCGTTTCTCAGATGAAGAAATTAAGACACAGATTAAAGTGTTTGTCCACAGTAAGGGGTAGAGCCAGGAATTAAAGTCAGGCCTGTTTATCTCCAAAGGCGCTTATGGATTTTTGCCGTACCACAGGCTCAGTTCTGACCTGGAGCTCAGAGGCCTCCACTTCCAGCTGTTCCCAGGCCAGGACGAGCGCAGTCCTTACAGGGTGGGAGCAGAGCACCAAACATCTTCCTGAATCCTGAGTTGTTCGCGGCCTCGGCACCTGCCTTAAAAAGCGTTTTCCTAGATCTGTTGAGATTTCTTCCTGCTCCATCTAATCCTGCCTCCCAGCACCGCAGCACCAACATGTCACTTAATTGTTCAGGCTTACAAGGAAGGACTCCAGAGAAAGTTAGCCATAATCAACAGAATCTCTTTTATAATTAAGTTCTATACTGAAAATACATCTAAACTGTAAAATAGGCAATACCATTTCAAGTTGGCAGACTTTTTTCTGTAAAGAACCAGATACTAAACGTTTTAGGCTTTGCAGGCCACATATGCTCTCTGTTGCTGCTGCTTGGTTTGTTTTCTCTTTAATCTTTAAAATGTAAAATTCACCTCTTGAGCTTTGAGATGGGTGGGGCTTGGCCTCCAGTCTGTAGTTCGCCCACCCCTGGCCTAGGATGGAAGCAAGAAAATGGACATAAGAAAAGGAATCATCCGAACAGTGTCAGAAAGGTAGTGCTGCCCTACTTAGTGTGAGGGGTTCATGTCTTCACTTTGCAAGTATTCGGAGTGGCTGTATAGTTCATGGCAGCTTGCTGTATCACATAAAGAATTTCTGGCAGGTACAGTGGCTCACACCTGTAATCCCAGCACTTTGGGAGGCCAAGGTGGGCACATGGCTTGCGCCCAGGAGTTTGAGACCAGCCTGGGCAACATGGTGAAACCCCATCTCTACGAAAAAAAAAATACAAAAATTCACTGGCTATGGTGGCATGCAACTGTAGTCTGAGCTACTTGGTAGGCTGAAGTGCGAGGACCACATGAGCCCAGGAGTTTGAGGCTGCAGTAGTGGCTGTAAGGGCACCACTGCACTTCAGCCTGGGCGACAGAGTGAGATCCTGCCTCAAAAAAATTAAAAAGTTTCTTTTAAAAGCTGATTTTCAAGGAAAAGTGATACTTCTCAATATCTAACACACAAACAGAAAACCCATAGCACTCAGTAGAATGAAATACACAAGCACAGATCTACGGAAGACAGGAATAAATGGCCTTAAACATTTCAGTGTCCTTGAAATGCATCAGTTTGTAACACAACCTTATCTTCAGTATCTATTATGTACAAATATTTTATATACATTATCTTTACTCCTTAACAAGAACCTCTGGGGAAGATGGCTTTGTTCCTCTTTTTACAAATGAGACCAAGGTTCCAAGAGGTTAAATGACTCACACAAGACCATAGGACATGGAGATGAAAAGCTAGGATTTGAACCCATATTTGTCTGAAATTCCACAAATTGTTGATTTTCATGGTTAAAATAGGCTTCAGTCTTTAAAGGTTATTATATCTAGAACTTTGTCCTATTGTAGAATAGCTCCTTCCCCAGTGATACTGAAAAGCTGACTCATTGCTCTGTGGTAGTTCACTTGTAATTGTTTTTTACTGTCTTCTACCTGCCCATTTGGTAAGAAGCCAATCCAGCTATTAAACAAGAATGCCAGGTAGAATCAGTTTGATATTAAAGTGATAATACTGGTAATAAAATAACGATGGTGATAACAGTTACCAGTGGCCATGCCAGTGGGCCTCCAGGTGTTCTCTTTCGGTCTTCACAAGAACCTATGAAAGAGGGCTATCCCCCTCTTACAAACGAGCTGACAGATCAGAAAGGTGATATAACTTACCCAGGTTCACAGAGCTAGTAAGTGATGGAACTGGGATATCAAACCATCCTTATCCAGCTCCACAGTCCAACATCAATTTATTTACTTAGCAGATGTTTGAGTGCCTCCCATGAGCCTGGTGCTCACTGAGTACCAGGGATGCACCTCGTACGTGGTAGATGAGGCCCCTCACCACACTCCATTGTGGAAAAACAAACAGTGGACAAGTGAACAAGTCAGTGCTGCTGGTGATAACAGGGAGCAGCTGACTTGTTATGTAGAGCGGCCCATGAAGCCTCTTGAGGAGATACTTGACTGAGGTCTGACATCAAGGAAGCCAGCCAGGCAGGGGGGCTGGTCGTGGCAGGGTCTCTGAGGCGGGGGCAAACTCACCTGTCTAAGGCCCTGAGACGGGTGCCCCTTGATGTGCACACATAGCTGTCAACCAGTAAGTGTACACCCTCAGCCTCTTTTAAATTGCAAGTCGATTTGAAAGAGATTTGGGCAAAATTAGCCCCTTTTATAGCTTTGTAAGCTTCTCAGGAGCCATCTCAGGATACTCCAGGAATACAGCCTGCCCTTTCAGTCAAGTTTGAAGGTGGAAGTGGAATGTTCCCCCTTGAAAGTGTTTGCTAGATTTTCCCCCAGCTTAGGGAGCTAACCTGCCATGCATGCCATCCCCTAAGCCTGAGGAAGTTGCATGGCCTCACCCCTTCTGTTCTTTGAGGAGGCTGTACTCTGGCTTTTTACTGGGCTACATGTTGAGATACGGAGGAGGGGGATTCTGATTTTTTTATGAGACTTAAGCGTTCATGTTGTTACTCCCTTAATAAAGTGATTCAGATGTGTTACCTTACTTTGCCGTTTAGGGCCAGCCTTGGGGAGGAGCCCAGTTTCATCTTGAACTTCTGCTTCCCTTGTTCTCCCTTCCCATCTCATCGTTCACATATGTAACGATACATGGTGTGTGCTTCTGCAGGGGCTTGGTTGGCCTGTTATCATGAGAATTTCCCTATTATCATTAAAACTCTTCAGAATAATCACTGAATCCTTACAGTGACTGTAGGACAAGTGGGAGTTACTCCATTTGGCAGCTGATGAAGCTGAGGCTCAGAGAAGTACTCAAGCTGGTTAACACAGCTAGAAAACCACAGGAGCTGGAAGCCATAGCTGAGGCCTCACTCTTCGTGCTGGCTCTGGTGAAGCCTTTCCCTTCCCTGGGAAATGTGTATTTGTAAGGTGGCTTTTAATTTCTGTGTGCCTTTGACTTGCCTACACACTCCTCTCTGAAGGTAAATTGACTCGGTGGAGTTGAAAGAGGGGTGACAAGACAGCATCCTGCGCCCAGTTGGGGGTTGAACTGGATAACCCAGACCCCGAGGGTCTGTGACAGTGTGTAGTGGGATCCAGGCCGGTGCCGTTCTGTTCCCAGCACCTCAGGAGGAAGGAGGAGAGGGGAGCACAAGGGCTCAGTGGCCCTGCAGGAGAGGCAGGAGGCCCTTCCTTCCCTCGCATGTGCAGGGGCGGTGGGGCCAGGCTTTTCTTGGGTGACAGGGATCGCTGACCACCAAAGGGACAGCAGTTGGAGCTGTCATCCAGGATACCAGAGGCATGAATTTTGAGTCACCCAGTGCCATTGGGGTGTGCTGAGGAGCTCTCTCTCCTGGGACCATATGCGAGGAACATTTTCCCGGCTGAACCACATGTGACGAACAAACCCATTTATAGTCTAAAAATTAAGAGAACAAGTCTCTTTTTTTTCTTTTTAAAAAACATCTTGGTGTATATTGCCCATCTCCAGAAGTTCCCATTCCCAGAGTGCCCCGCGAGGCTGTTGGTGGCCATGTGAGTGACCACAGCAGGCCCTGGAATGCAAGCTCTTTTCCCCATGGCTTTGGAGCAGAGGGGAGTCAGCTGGGTGGCCTTGTCTCCTGAGGGGCATTGGCCAGGGTCACACTGGGTTTTCTAGGGACCAGCTGTTCCGTGGGGTGGAGAGGCAGCCGGCCATCGCTTTCTCTTCATCTTTCGTCCAGCCCTTCCTCGTACAAATGCTTTCTCGCAGAAAGACTTATTTGTTGTCCCCTGAGCGAGGCCACAGCTCTCCCACCTGTCTTCTGTTCAGGTTGGCAGATGGGTTCAGGCAAGGGTCACTCTGAGAGGAGACCTTTACCCAATGCTCCTGTCTGCTGGCTTGGTCACCCTGAACTGCTGCCTGAGGGGCCAGGAAAGTGGTCGGTGTCCCTGGCCTGGTGAGAGATGGCCGGAGCTTCAGCCAGACCCACCTTGCGAGGAGAAAAGGGGAGTGGCTGGAGAAGCCACCCCTTAAGAGCAGGTTGGGCCTGCCCTTGTGCCCAGGAGGACTGCATAGGTGCAGCTGCCACTTTCAGGCCACACACTTCAAGCTAGAGCTTGGCCTGCGCCCCTGGTGGTTGGGGATTGGAAGAGCAGACTGTGTTGACAGGGTCTTTTTTTTTTTTTTTTTTTTTTTTTTTTTTTGAGATGGAGTCTCGCTCTGTTGCCCAGCCCAGGCTGGAGTGCAGTGGCGCGATCTCGGCTCACTGCAAGTCCGCCTCCCGGGTTCACGCCATTCTCCTGCCTCAGCCTCCCGAGTAGCTGGGACTACAGGCGCCCACAACCGCGCCCGGCTAATTTTTTGTAATTTTTAGTAGAGACGGGGTTTCACCGTGGTCTCGATCTCCTGACCTTGTGATCCGCCCGCCTCGGCCTCCCAAAGTGCTGGGATTACAGGCGTGAGCCACCGCGCCCG